CTTTGGCCGTCGGATACCTCCAGAAGCGGTCCGGATGTACGACGAAGTAGAAGGGCCTCAACGCTGTGGCCACCTCTTGAGTGGTCAGCAACTGTTCCCGAGTGCCGTACGAGTGGTAAGACCTGCGATGCTGTCCAACGAGTGGCTCCTTAGCTCCAAACGAGTGGTGCGATTGTCTGGCGAGGAATGGCTGCCGCTGTAGAGGTCGGTCTCGATGGTAGTGATGGCCATTGATAGGGATCTCTGCAGAGGTCGGCAGCGGTTCCAGCGGTTGGCACTTGCGGTGAGATTGTCTGGTTGGGATCCGTTGTCTTGCAGTGGATGGCAGTGGCGGTGGCGGAGGTCTGTGTCCGCCAAGTCTTGGCTGTGAATGTATTTCGCGGATCAACGTCTTGGAAGACAGCGCCAACGCTCGCGCCATATGTCTTGGGATCAGTTGCGGTGATAGTGTGTCCGGTGTTTTGGTTTACATTTTTGTTTGATTTGATACTCAAATGAAGAGTTTTTTAGGGATTAATTGCAAAACCAATTGAAGTCTTGTTTTAATCGCAGTTTGTTTTTGTTTACTGTTAGGAGTTGTTAACAAATGTCGTTACAGGGGGAGTAAAGTGACTCGTTTACTGCCCCCACACAGTGTTTGCTAATGCAATTGTGTTACCCTCAGCTATATGTGTGTTACGGTGTTTGTGGACATACGTAACGTTATCGAAAACTAGTGATGCAATAAATCAATACTATTTCCATACATTGTGTGTATTTATGCGGCACTAGTCTTAAGATTTTAATTAAATTAATTAATAAGTAGTGTACACTACGTGTAATAAATTTAATTATTTAATTAATTTTCATAATTAACACTAAATTAAAGTTTTTCACACAATTTATTCAATGGTTTAGGAGTTATTCACAAATAACGTCTGTATTTACAATGAGTGAACATTTTGCACATAAAAGCGAAACTCATTTGTATTTTCGGTTTTTGTCACTGAATTTGATCCCAAATTAGATGTCATGTAAATCCAATTGAATCAACTCATCCGCTGAAGAGTTTACCACAACATGAATCTCTACTTTACCGAAGAGTACGTGAATCAAGTGCTCGGGCAGTACCAGAACTCCAAGAGTCCCGTCAAGAGGTCGGTGACACCGCGGATGACCCCCACCACCACCTCCTACGCCGACAACAGACAACACATAACTCCCGAGTTTTTCGCCACCGAAGAGCTCCGCAGAAGACAATTGAATGAATCGACATTTAAGGGCTTCGATCAGCGCATGGGCTCCGGAGGTATGCCCCTCACGAACAGCCAATCACGTGCGGCCACACCGATGATCAACCCATCGACAGTTGGTACATGTCTTGAGCACCAGTTTCTGATGATTATCTCATTATAATTATCTGTTTTTCGTGTCCATAGCGGCTGTCAATGAGTCTATCGTTTGCCAGTTGTCGGAGCCGTTGATTACGAGCGACTCGTTTGCCACTCACTCGTCGTTTCCCACAAACGGGTCGGGGATGGCGTCCCACACCTCCCGGCGCGGGGCTATGCGTTCGCCCAGACGTACCTATAAGCCGACGCTTATTAACCACACGTCGCCGCCCAAGGCTAGGAGCACAGGGATACCATATAGCGGTAACTCCATGCCATACACAGCCAAAGTCATTGACTACCAGTCTAACAGTGGCCAGGGATGGCAGTCTGTCAACCGGGTGCGCCCGTTGGCTACAGTAGATCAGTTCCCTGAGGTGTCACCATTCGGTGAACTAAATGCCCGTCCCATGAGGTCATTGATGACTCGCCACGAGATACTAGTCCAACAAAACCGCACCAAAAGGGCGCTCCAGGGTGTGAACGCACTGCAAGCGGCCATCGCTGCTGTGTCTAAGAGAGCACCGGTAGCTGCAAAGCCTACATTTCAACAGCTAAGACCCATACTTAAGAACACAACTAAAAGTGGAGGTCAGGCGCCGCCTATTGGCGATCGGTTTGCACGAATGAGAGCTAATCAGTTGGTGTCGGCGGCTAAACATACGTTGACTACCAAACAGACATCCATGTCCTCGAGGCGGACACTAATGGGCAGACAGTCGACGCTCAGCGGCCAGAGGTCGGGAGTTAGCCGTCAACAGTCGACTGTCGGTCCGTTGTTTAAGCCCAACTCCGGGCCCAGTGGTCTAGTGGTGTCCAAAGGGTCGCGTGTTATGCGCGACTCATTAGCGCCGGGATATGAAAGCGACGGCATTATCAAGACAGTGGACATGGAGGACCAGAATATAGGCTTTTATTGCTACCATTGCGACACATATATCGATGAACTACAGGTGCTCGGAAAGCACTGCACACTCTATGCCCATAGAAATGTAATACAGATTTAAATAATTGTTTTTTTTTTGGGAATTGAATTGAATTACTGAATGATTTGTTTGTGTTTTTGGTCACAGAATATGAGTAGAAATGCGGCGAATCCTCTGCAGAATCCGTTGAACAAGAAGTTGATTTCGGATCAATTCATAGCCGATGATAAACTTGCGTCCATTGGACTCACCGGTCAGTGGATTAAGATTTGGGGTTTAATTTTGTTGATTTTAATTGATTTTTTTGGTTACAATTATAGCCGACACTGTGTTACGCATGGAATTGGATCGCATACCCATTGAGTGCAAGCATTACTATTACATCAAAGGCATACGCCTCCAGAACCCCGGTGGGGCCCACCCTTACCACTGCAATGTAAGCCCTCATAATGTCTATCATTGGTTTATTTTATTTTTGAGACATCAATGAATTAATTGTTTGGTTTTGATTTGAATTAAACCAATAGTTTTGCGACAAATCAATTGACTCGTTGTCGGTGATCGACAGCCACTTATCGTCGGACAGCCACCAGAAGCAAGAAAAGAGGCCGACGTTTGCCAAGTTTATGGCGCAGTCAACGGAACCGATAGCGGGCCTGAAGTTTGTCACGGAGTACACGTGCGCCGACTCCGGACAGCCTACCTATGAGTGCCAACTCTGCCAAAAGTTCCACGACTCGTACGACATGTATCTACACGTGTGCTCTTTCGGGCACCGGATCCGAGTGTTGGTTAGTGTTTGGGAACAGTTGTGGTGACGAATCGGTAGTTAAAATGTCTTAAATGTCTGTGTTTTTGGTCTAAATTTTCTGTAGAAAGCGTTTAATCCGAACGAAACGATTTTGGATAAGATATCGGAGACGCCGCGAGTGGTTAAGGAGATCGAGCGCCGGGTGGCGGACGTGCAGCGCCGGGTGGGCACCGGTAGTGTCGT